ATATATTCACCAAATTCTGTTGCACACAACTTCATAAAAACAATACTACAGGACTTTAAGACCCAGGTTAATCCCAACTCATTCATAGTAGGGCACTTCAATACCACTGTCTCCATTAGATAGGTCAACAGGGCAGAGAGTTAACAGAGAGACATCTGCATTAAACAATACCATATATCAAATGGTAACAGACATCTACCGAGTATTCCACCTAAGCACCAAAGGACATACTTTCTACACAGCACGCCATGGACCTTCTCCAAAATCAACCATTTACTGGGGCATAAAACAAACCTCAACAAATACAAAAAGATTGAAATAATTCCATGGATTCTATCAGACCACAATGCAATAAAGCTTACGATCAACACCAAAAGAAGCCCTAATCACCACATGAACACATGGAGATTAAACAACACACTCCTGAATGATGAATGGGTCAAAAGAGAAATTAAGAAAGAAGTATTCCTGGAACTAAATAAAAAGGACAATACAACACAACAAAACCTCTGGGACATGCTGAAAGTGGTCCTTAGAGGGAAGTACTGCCTACATCAAAAACTCGGAAAGAACACAAACAAATGATTTAACATTGCAACTCAACACACTTGAAAAGCAAAAACAAACCTAGCAGACAAGAAGAAATACCAGCAGAGAAGAATAACAAAAATCAGGGCAGAAATCAATGAAATCAAAACAAAGAAAACAATCTGAAGAATCAACGAATCCAAGAGCTTGTTCTTTGAAAAGATAAACAAGATTGACAGACTGCTAGCCCAGTTAACAAAAAGAAAGAAAGAGCACCTCCAAATCAACAAAATCAGAGATGAAAGGGGAAACATCACAACAGACACCAGAAAGATACAGAACATTGTAAGGAATACTTTAAAAACCTATACGCTCCTAATTTGAAAACCAAAAAGAAATGGATGGATATCTAAAGGCATGGGAACCACCAAAACTAAACCAAGAAGAGATCAACAGCTTAAACAGACCCATAACACATAAGGAAATTGAAACAGTAATACAAAACCTCCCTACTAAAAAAAGCCCAGGACCAGAGGGATTTACAGCAGAATTCTATCAGACATTTAAAGAAGATCTACATCCAATACTACTTAATTTATTTAAAAAGATAGAAATGGAGGGAGAACTTCCAAATTCCTTCTATGAAGCCAGCATCACTCTAATACCAAAGCCAGGTAAAGATACAACCAAAAAAGAAAACTAAAGACCCAGATCCTTAATGAACATAGTGGTAAAAATTCACAACAAGATATTTGCAAACCGCATACAGACACACATCAAAACGATCATCCACCATGATCAAGTTGGCTTTATCACAGAGATGCAGGTTCAATATACATAAGTCAATTAATGTCATAAATCATATAAATGGGCTCAAAGACAAGAACCACATGGTCATCTCAATAGATGCAGAGAAGGCCTTTGACAA